TTGGCCTTCAGCACCCAACTCCACGTTTGGCACCACTCCGTCGAGGCAGAGCAGCAGGCAGGATGACAGCCTCACAAGAACAGCAAACCCAGAATGACGTGGGCAATAAAAAAGCTCACTGGAGTGAATTGTAGCAGGCCTCCCAACTTTCTCGTGCCGACATGCCAGTGCAATTGCAATTTGACCCCCAGCCTGGGTCTGCACAACACACATTTCTAGGCACGCTTGCCTCTACACCCGGCCAACGGTGTATACAGAGTCCTGAAGTTGAGTTGTGTCCGCACTGTGGAAAACTGCGGCAATGCCGAAATCTCCACAGTGCTGACACCACATAACTTGCTGGGTAGGAGCTCTGCTTGGTAAAGGCAAGTTTTCGATGTCTGTATCTCAGAAGTAGAGAAGCAGTTCTGATGGAAGTTGTAGCAAGTCATAGTTGCAGTAGTAGTAGTAGTAGTAGTAGTAGTAGTAGTAGGAGGAGGAGGAGGAGGAAGAAGACGAGGAAATGTCCACTGCTGCTTTTGGGCGATGGGGCTCGCAAGTTTGGGGTTAATGTTTGGGTCTTGGGGTAGGGCTCTATCCAGGGTTGCAGTCGGTGATCAAGGCAAGTGCAACAGCTTTTTGCAGCAGAAAAGTGATGGAAAAGTCTTTGTGAATGGCAGCCAGTATGTCCAGAGCTCATCGTATGGATGCTTTCATACTGCAAAGATGTAATCACTGTCCACAGTCCCACTGTCAGTGACAGTGTGACTGTGCACAGTGAACAGTGGCTGCCTTTCACACATGTTTCAGCTGTCCCCGCTTTCCAGGGATACATAGCACAGAAAACAAATGCCAGCAGCAGGGCTGGAATTCCGAGCAGCAAAGATGGCCATGCTGTGATGCATCAAAGCTGCTATTAGGGCAGCACTAATACAAGTCCATCAGTCATCATTTGGATACATTTCTCCCAGTAACATGCACTGCTGGGAGGACCATACGTCGGTCTCAATCATGTATGTGACTGTGGACAGTGGACAGTGGACTGCTATTCCAGCCGACACAGAGAGCAATCGCTCGTGGAAATTCGCGACCTGCTCCGGCTTCTTGGCCGGCCTGAATGCCACGTATGTGTGGCCTCTTGCTCGAAGACTGACCACTGTCGGTGCCGCTCTCCTCTGAGGGCAATTCCTGCATATTTCTGCACTGTTGCCCAATTGCCAGCATTGAGGGCTCTGCGGAGCGAGCCCACACGGGCTCCCAAACACCTGTTGTTGAGGGCTGGCTGTGTTTCTCGCATTTCCAAACGGTACAGGCTCAGGAGCCGTTCCCTAGCCTCTGATAGCTCTGGTCCCTCCTCCAGCCAGAGGCTGGTATCAGACCAATAACCGTCTTCTCTCTCAGGGCCATTGTCAGCACTGACAGCCCCTTCTCCATCACTGCTGTCCTCGGAAGACTCGGTGCCGCTGCTTGAACTGGAAGCAGCGAAACGCCCACTGGCCATATGCGGGCCAGCGACACGCATGGCAACCCTATCTCCATTCTCATCTGTCTGAACTTTGATCGGCCAGCGATAGCGAGGCGGAGGGGTGGAGGAGGTTTCACTGTCACTGTCAGCAGGTGTATCAGCTGGGACAGGACGACAGTGGACAGGAGGACAGTGGACAGTGCCGGGAGGTTGGTTGACCGCCAAGGGCGGCGGCGGCCCCTTTGGCATCAGCGCCTCCTTCGTTGGCGGTCCACTCTGCACCTCATCCCTTGGTGTACGTTCCGTGGCTGCTTCAGCAGCATCCATTGCATCTTCATAGCTCCCGGCGAGCAGATCTTCCAAGCTGTCGCCGCTGCCATGAGAATCGCCCCTCAGACTCATCGTCTAATGATTCTAATGTCACCGAAAGACACAAACAGAAGTGCAAGAAACCCTGAAGAAGAAAATAACAGCTACAACCAGAAGATTTCCCAGACTGTCCACTGCGAGCCGTAGGGGCTTCCAAGAGGAAAAAACTTCGTCATTGTCGTCATCATCATCATCATCAGCAGCACCATGTCTTCCATTGAAATCAGCATCTTCAACAAATCTTTGCCAGGCCTGCTCCAAGGTGTCAGCCAGCGTGCCATGCGCCAACGCAAAGCCAAACCTGCCAGCCAAGCAACACACCAGATGACTTCAAGGCGCTGCTCAGAAAGACCGCACAGCAGAAGAGAAGGGGACAAGTTAAAGGCACTGCTCAGAAGGCTGGCAGAAGCACCTTTCTTTCTCTCTTTCTTTGTTCTGCAGTGCGTGTGAATGGCAGCCCTGTCGTTGTGTCCACTGCACTGCTCCAATGACGCATTAGCGACCCTTAAGGTTAGCTTATCATTTGCAGCGAGGGCTCTGGACAATGAACAGTTGACATTGACAGTGAACAGTGGACACTGGACATGGACAGCGGCTGCCATTCAGAAATGTCCGGGCTGTTGCCTGTCATCATCAGATAACAGCCCAGAAAGATGTAAGTGCTGGAATAATTCCGAGCTGTCGATTAAGAGCTGCTTCACCAGGCTCCGTCAGCCGCTCCAGAGCGACGGGGAATCAGCTGGAAGGGACCCCTCTCCTCGGTCCAGTACCACCTCAGATGGAATGCATTGGCAAGGTTCGATGGAGCTGGACAAGTACACAATTGCAGCCTTGCTGCCCATTGCCATAGCTCCAGATCCAGCCCTTCCACGAGTTGGGCTCCCCAGTTCTTGTCCAGTGCGGCTGGGTGCGAGTGACACTCTTGTTGAAGGCCTCCAAATCAAAGGAACAACAAATAGAATTTTTTACTATGGCCAAACACATCGAATCGTCAATGCCCCTGCCTGCCGCTTGAGCATGTCAGTAAGGCAGTCCGGGTACTGTCAGGCATCGCCACATATGGAGCTTCGGGGCAGAAAACTGTGGCGTGGTCGGCGGCCTCTGCAAGAACAAGAAGTGGGCGAAATATTGATCCGCCTCCTTGGAGAACAAGCCAGAGCGAATCGTCCACGTGCTGATCTGCAGCATCTGAATCGGCACCGGCTTCACGTCATAGACGACGAAGGCGCCCTAGCAGGCAGGTCACTGCGACCGGGCCTCTAATCTATTGAAAACCCTCTGGAAGCCTGGTAGGTCTCGCCCATGACCTTGTAGCACTCCAGGTTGTTCGTCTCGCCCATGAGAAACACCCAGAAGAATTGGCCCAAGCTTTGCAGCCAGACGGACATTGTCTGATCCTGGAGACAAGGGGAACATCGCACAGTGGACAGTGGGCTTTGTTATCTTAGAGCTGTCCTGCAAGCTGAAGAACTGGGCAATGTTGTTGGGCAGCTGGCCTTCCATCAGGAACTCATACACGTTGTGCTCCATCTGGCCTGCCGGGGCATATGGAGAAGGCAACCGTGTTTGGATGAAGCTGAAAGGCCTTCGTCCAGGATGTGCAACACGGTCTGGGCCGGAAGGTTGTGGGGCTCGACGACGCCGGCCAGTGCCTTTCGCCGTGCCACGAGGTTCATGGCCCGGGCACCGAGGACGGCGGCGCCCGCCAATGAGGCCTCAGTTGGACTCTTGCCAGACAAGGGGAACATTGCACAGTGGACAGTGGCAAACACGACTGTGACTTGGATGTTTGAAGCCTTGCCTGGCGGACGTCCTGTTCGACGTGGTGCCACTCGCCAAGGGCCACGAGCATTGCTTTGGCCCCTTTCGTCGCATCTGTGAGGTGCGCGTGCCAGGGATACAGGCCGAATTCAATCCCGTGCCGACGCGGCATCAAGTACGAGATGGTTTCGTCTATTAACATTCATGGGGTCACGCCCGCGGGGTTGTTTGCACCCCTGGCATGCCCGATTTCGTGGATTGGGCTAGATGCACTGCTTCTTGAAGGTATGCAATGAAAAGACGCCGTGAAACCATGCTCCGTCACCAATGCGCACTGACTGCAGCGGCATGCTTCAGGGTCATGAACGAAGCATTGCAAAAGTGGCAATCCGCATTACAAAAGCTGCATCAACCAACAACCGAGCCCGAAAGCAGCAAACAATAATACGTTTTGCGGCCGCCTCGACCTCTATGAGTCATGTCTGAGGCGACATTGGACTATTAGAGGTCATTGGTGGCATAGCTGTCATTGGAACAAGCTCGCTTTTACATAGCGAAGGCATGGAACCATGTATGCAGCGCTTCAAACCAAAGGAATATGAGCATCGAAATCAGCGAGCTCTTGATTTCAGAGCATCATGACCATCAAACGTGCGAGTCAAACACGTTTGAGCCAAAAAGTCTACAGTTGCAGGTATCAGGGTGTGCATCATGAGCACCAAACGTGCGAGCCAAATACGTTGAGCCAAAAAGTCCACAGCTTGAGGCTCCAGGGTTTGCATCATGACCATCAATCGTGCGAGCCAACTGAGCCAAATACGTTTGAGCCAAAAAGTCTACAGCTTGGGGCTTCAGGGTTTAGGGTAGTTCGCTTTGTGTTGGGTTGTACCAGTCAAAAATATCTCATCATATCACACACAGGTTTTAAAGACTAGGTATGGGCTCACGTTGTCACAATAAGATTTCGGAAAGCCCACATGTGTATAGATGTGAAGTGAACACAGCGTGTTTCACATGCGAAATCTCGCGATCATCAGCTGATGGAGCGTGTGCTTGCGACGAGCTTTGGAGATTGATGGCATCCTGACGTAAAGATACATTTAAGTTTACACGCCCGACACCGGTTGTTGTGATTCCACATGAGACCGATCGTCACTGAGCACGTCCGGCTCCAGCACACACTCCATTCTCTCCACTCTCCTCCCCTCACACTCTGCTCTACACTAACCCTCCCCTGCTCTGCACTCTTCTCCCTCTCTCCCTCGTCCTCTCCACTCTCCACTGCCACTCCTGGTACGATCTGGCGTGTTGTTAAACTGGCCGATTGGTGCACATCAAGATGCAATCACTGATACTGATACATGCCGCAATCCTGCTTGACATCAAACAGCTGTTTTTCGTCAGAGGGTAGCCATTGCCATCAGTATCACTCGCTACGATTTGCACGTGCCGCAGCCATAAACACTATGGCCAGCGCAGTCCCGACTTGGCACAAGCACATCGTGTTTCCAAGGACGGTCTTGGAATACTTCTTGCCCATGGTGATGATGTGCTGCATGGTCTGCTCATCTGGCATGCACGGATGCGTCCTTGAGTCACTTCGGTGCACCGGAAACCCTTGGACTGACATCAACTCCTGCACAGTGTAGAGTCTGTCAGCTCGAAGATTGTAAATGTTGGAGTTTTTAACCAAGGTCGGCATCACACGCATCGCACCAGTGAAACCGATGTCCTGCGCACAATCAACATTGAAATCAAAATCAGTGTGCTCATCCTGCTCGAGCTTCTCACGATGCTTCATCATGCGAAGTCTGTGCCCCGTAGCGAGAACATGCTTGCAAGAGTACGATTTGCCCTGCTGCCCACGTGGCTCCAAACCTCGCGCCGCGGCGAGGCCATCCAAGAGAGCAATGACCTCATCCTCGGGCGATTGCAGGTACACGGATCCATGAAGATGCAGGCGGCGAAAGCAAACCTCGCCAAGGATGTTGACATCGAAAGCGGCAGCTTCACAGGTTGCCGACATGGGGTTTGGCCACACCAAAGAGTAGCGGCGGGGTCGGTGAGTCGGTATCCCCAAATCGCACGGGCTGAACACGGCCATCTCCAGTCTACAACCAGGAAACATGGAGCTAAAGAAAACCTCAGCTGGGAAGGAGCCCACATTCTCGTTGACGATGCAATCCGGAGGGGGTGCCAACCTCAAAGAGAAAGCCCAAACAAGAGCACTGATACTTTCTGGATCCAGAAAACCCAGCTGCCGTCCACGCTTGGACCAAGGAGTGCAGGGATGCCCTGCAACTTCTACCCACAAGCGGTGGCCATGATTGACCACTGGTGCCCATGGGCACTGGTGTCCACATTTCAAGCACTCAGCAGAAGCCTTGAATGAATCACGATTTCGATCCATGCACTTGATAGCTGCCTGCAGAAACAGCAACCCATACTTTTCCACCAGCTGGTGAATCTGACGACTGTCCTTGGAATCAAGTTTCTCCTTGGCATTCTCAAATAATGTAACATACCGTGCTTGTAGACTCGCAAGGCTCTTCACGACCTTGTCACCAACACGATCTTGAACATCACTGAACACATGTTGGCCCTTCAGGAAAGGCCTGCACTGCTTGTCCACCTCGGTTTGACTATGCAGCTTAATGTCCACCGGAATGCCTCGAGCATGCATGGCAGACTGCACAGCAGTAGCAGCAAATTCAGCAGCCCCAAGACCACTGAAGGATGTCGTAAGTTCAACCGAAAGTGGAGACGATGTTGCCTGCGGCCGACAAGGCCCACACTTCTCGAGCAATCGAGAAATCACATCATGGTTCCAATCGAAAATCTCTGAATATTCTTTCGGCCCATATGGCAGGGACTCGGCGGGAAATCTGCTGCTCGTTGAATTCCGGGGCTTTGGAACGTCAGGCAGCACATCACCGTGCTCAGGAGACTCAGGTCGCTCGCCATAATCTTCTAGATCTAGGCTATACCGAGAACGCTTCAAGGCAGGCGGCCGTGCACTGTCACCACTACTCTGCGACATGGTTGAGCCCTGGGTTCAAGCAGTCCTCTCATCAGATCGACAAAGCAGGCAGACAGCCAGAGCATGCACCGCAACAGCTGCAACAGAAGCACTGAAGGCGTTTCATGCTTTCGCTGACATGGCCATCCTGGCCATCTGAAGTTTTGTGCACTATGACACAATTGGCACTGCTGGCAGTGCCTACAAGGCCTGGCGAAAGGCCCCGTCGGGATAATGTCAAAGCATCCCAACAGCAAAGCTTCATACTTATTGCGGGTCTGAACATGCGGCTGTTGGGAAACCCTGTCTTCACAAAAGTCAACCTCGAAGTGGCCAGGAAAGCACGGGAGGCGGGAAGATGAACATAGGAGCGATAGTGAACTACACGACTGATGATGTGATAATTGGAGACTGGACAAGCCTAGTGCCACATGGAGGGATACCCAAGGAAAAAGCAATGCTGTGCACTGCGAAAACTCGCTCCCATCTCGAAGTCAGACTGAACATCAGGACGACCACACAGTGCAGTACATTGCACAACCGGGCAGCCGAATGCATCACTGAACATGTCACAGGTGGGTTAAGTCCTCCACACGTTGTGTCTTCGGGTTCGGGGTGTCCGATGCTGATGCTGCCTCTGCGGATCGCTTGGTGTGTGTGTGCTCATCACCCTGTGCCGGCTGGGTGCCTTTGTGATTGTGACTACCTGGAACTGGTACTGGCGAAGCTTCGGGCTCCTTGGCTGCTGCCGGCTTTTGCTGGGCTTGCTCATGCTCGGGTGCATGCTGTTCAAGCTGCAGTTGCTCCTTCTCCTTCATCTTCTGATCTTTCATTTGTTGTTGCAAAGCTTGTTGCTCTTTCTCCTTCATCTGCCTTTCCCTTTCCTCGTGCTCCTGTTGTTTCTCATGCTCCTTTCGTTGGTGCTCTGCCTCCATCCTGTCCAGATTCTCTTTGAAAGACTTTTCGTCTACTTCGTTGCTTGGCTTTTCGAGCTGACCTTTCTGATCCTGTGGGGCTTCCTGCTTGCTGGGCTGCTTTGGCAATGCTCCTTGTGGCTCTTGCGGCGCTGGGTTTTCGAGGGGCTGCCTGTCCGTCCCAGCTCCGACCAACTTGTTGGTCAAGCAATTCAGCATCACCTTCATAAGCTCGTCATCTCGACACCAGGTCTTGGCAAGCCACTCCAAGTCCTGCTTCGCACCCAGAGTGTCACAGAGCACACCAGCACGAACTCCGACCCAAGGAGCCGAGCCGAGGATGCGCTCAGCGAAAATCCAGCCGGCCGGAACATAGAGAGCATCTCCCTTGCGAAGGCAACAAAATATATTCTGAAAACTCACACATAACAGAAACGACCCGGCAAGAACCCACCACCCAACATCTATCAAAAAACCTAGTTCTAGCGTTTCCGCTCTATACGCATAATACGAAAGCGGCGTTCCTTCCAATAGTGGATCAAAGGATGAAGATGCAGCCAACTAAGATTCCAAGATTCAGATCCCTATCTAAACTTAAACCACCCGCTTCACAATCCTCGGTTTTGCTCATTCTTATGTAGGAACACGCATGATTTGAAGGCTTTGCTAGGCCAGGCAAGAAAACTGAAACAAGGCATCGAAAGTTTCATACAGACAAAGCTGCAAGGATAAACCGCCCGTTTCACAGCCCCTGGCTTTGCTCCCTGCATGATTTCAAGGCTCGGCTTGTGCTTATGAATGCATAGGGTTGCCCTAAACTCACATCCGAAAGCACTTATTTCACGATCACCGGTCCTTGTTCACGTTGGCATAGTACACCTGAATTCCCTTGTTGCGAACATCAGCAAGCTGCTCATCATTCATTTCCGTGAACAAATCTCTGGCCGACTTGAGCGACGATGCACCCATGTGCTCTTGCAAGCACTTCTGTCGCATCATTACGACTTCGCGGCTCCCGGATACAGTCAGGCGCAGGGCACCTGTCAGTGAACGAGTCATCGCTCCCGTATGCCGTCATGCAGCAACACTTTCAAGTAAGTGCCCAACCTGACTGATGCTTCTCCGTGGCAATCTTGATGACATTCTTTGCAACAATGACCGCTTGCACGTCCATCGCGGCCTTGACATCTTGGGGGATTTCTGGGGAAGAGCACGGCCCGGCTTGACGAAGCAAGGAACCCATCCTCGATGCCATGGCGTGGTAGACGTCTGTGTTTGCAGCAAACCTTTTGTGTGCTCGGTCCACCCGCTGTGCACTTGCTTGTGCACTGAACAACTGCGCAAACTCCTGCATGATGGCCTTCTTGATTGGATGGCTCGCTTCGAACTCGCTTAACTTCTCAGGAGTTGAGCGGATGATTGCGGGGCTGTCGAAATCACTCAACTCCTCGCCCTCTGCTATCACTGACACAGAAGCCATGTGGTCGGCAGCCTGGAATAGCTTGGCTGGGCCGTGCACTGATGCAGTGGCCTTTTTTTTGCTTGTTCCCGATGCTGCCTTGGCAGCTGCACCCGCAGCAGCTTTCTTGACGACTTTCAGGCCTCGCTGAAGGTCAGACAAAGCGGATTTGGCGGCGCTGACCAAGTCAGCGATTGGGTTCTTGAAGTCCTTCTGCAGGATCGCCTTCTGCTCTTCAATGGCCTCCACGGATTCACACTCATTGATCTTGTCAAGTTGAATCTCCCAGTCTGAGAAAGCCCGCAGGTCGCGGAAGGTTCGCGATGGGGAAGCCGAGCCCAAAGCCTTGACGGACTCAGATTTCACGGAACCTTTGTCATCAGCCGCTGCATCGAAGCTGCTGATGTAGTTGGCAAGTGCACTAGGACCATCAAGCACTGCTTCCAGGCATTTCTGCCTGCCGAGCATGATAGCATGATCTCCTTCCAATTGCTTTTTATCCTTTGCACGGAGAGAATCATACTCGCGCTTAGCGGCAACCATCTTCTGCAGCTCGCCTTTGGATAGCTCGCACAGTCTCTCCAGGATACCCTTAGCAATCTTGGCTGCCTTGTTGACCTCGCGATCACGGTCGAACCACGATTTTCGACCTGCCGGCTTGTCCTCGCCCGCAGACTTTTCCGAGTCGTCGCCACTCCCCGAGTCATCAGATGCCTCCGGCTCTGAAGCCGGGCAAAGGGCTTCGACATCTCCCAGAGCCGCTGCGTGACCTTCCATTCCAAGACCACCAGCAAGGTCGTTCGCCACATCTGACAAGGCACGGGCACCGGCAACACTCTCATGGCTGAGCATGAGATTCTTGCCAAGTTTTCTCACATCCTCCTCTGTGCCCTTCTTCTTTGTGGCCCCCACAGCCTCCACACGCCTGAAGAAGGACAGTGATGACACATTCCCAATTTCGCTGGTCACATACTACTCAAGTTGAGGGTTTTCTTGATGAGGGCAGCACAAGGCGACAAAAGCGGATCACCACCTCTGGCTCTGTGTCTTTATTGTTGTGACGACTCTCATCTTACAAATTTGGCTTAACCCTCGTAACAGAACACTCACAACCACAACGACTCTCGTCTCCAGAACAGTGCACCGTCAAGTAACAACTACAATAAAACGATAGAACAGAGGATCATTCCATCAAACACCAACAATCTCGTCGCATGGTCGCAGTCGTCGAGTCGTCGAAAGCATCGCCGTCGTCCTCGTCGTCGCCAACAAAGTCATCGCCGCTGCACACAAGGCTGATGTTAACTGGCGCTTGGCCCTTGCTTGTGGTCATATCCAAAGACTGAACTCAATGTCTCAGTGGCATAGAGACTTGGCATCATATTCACCAGGCATCGTCCCACGATCGGAAACGCCGTCGTCGTAGTCGTCGACGTCACAAATCATCGTCACTGTATCTTCCGAAGTCTGAACATGTCAGGCGGGATCACGACTCAAAACCATACAACCTAAGCATCCTCGTTGTGAAGCTGAGGGGCTTAGAGCGGCTGTACTTGTTGACGAAGTTAACATCGTCGCCAATGTGGATCCTGAGCCTGAGTGGAGCCTGCTTGGGTCCCAATGTATCCGTGATCGTTCCATCAGCTTCAGCTGAATCAGACATGGATTTCCACTTCGCCTCTGCTGCGGCTTTCGACAAAGATCCTCCTGCTGGGGTTTGAAAGTGTTCCACCGCCTGGTCCTGCCACATCATGGTGCCTCTTGCGACGGATTCAACTGCTGACGAGGCTTTGGTTGTTTCGATGTATGTAATGACGCTGAAGGTCGCGGTCTTCTGTCCTTTTGATTTTGCTTCCACGACAGCCGCCCGGTAAGCGTTGATCAAGGCTTTGAGGCGCTTGGGACACTGTTTCACCTCTGCCAACCAGGCGCTTTTTCCGCACGCACGGCACTTCTTGGACAAGACGTCCAAGCATTTCTTGCAGTCCAGGCAGTTGCTCTGGTTTATGGCAAAGCTTGACAAGGGTAACGACTTACCACAGGACTTGCAGTGCTTCTTTCCCTTCTCTTTTGTCTGTCGCTTCTCATGACGCCCTGTGCCACGGGAGTCTCTCTTTGCCGGCTTTCCCGATCTTGTCTTGCTTCGCCCACGCTTATCTTTGGGAGTTGTGGAGGCCTTTGACTTCTTGTCACTGCTAGGCTCCGCCCGTCGCTTGCTACCTCTATCCTTCTTGGGGGTCTCAATCGGCTCTCTGGATTCTTCAGCCTCGGACTCCTCAGGCCCTGAAAAGGACACCTCTTCATCAGACATGTTCAGACACACCCAATGCGCCCGGCGTGTGCTTCTATGGTCTACTCTCACTCAAACGGCGCATGAAGTGTTCTGAATACTTCTCAAACAAGACTCACCTTGGCACAACATCACGACTGCATTGTACTGTATGCTTCGGTGCAACACCTGCATTATCTCGACTCTTCGTCTGGGCAACGACACAGCTACACGAAGCGCTCAGACCTAGACTCGAGGTGAAGCTATGTTTGCATGTGGAACAGCAAGTGAGCCAAGACAGCCGTTCAATTGAATCAACAGAACTGACTCCAGCGTCTCAGCAAAGGACGGGGTGTTATCGTGCAGCCATGGAATCAACTCGCATCCAGCTAGTTGTTACCGAGGGCTTTGCAAGCCTCCTCCATGTTGTGAATCAAGGCGCACAGACTGTCGGTCACGATAGACGAAGAGCATAACCTCCTAGTAGTAGGAGAATAGGATCGAATCCCTTGCTCCACTGCCCCGGCCGTTGGGTTGGGTATTGATGGCTTTATCTGCACCAGGAACTCCACCGAACCCCCCCCCAAGAACTCCAAAACCTTCCAAAACCAAGAAATTCGGGAGTTCAGGACCCAAACTCATCCAAACCCCCAAAACCGCCCAAAACCACGACCACCCCAAAACCTTACACTGGCTCGACCCCGCTCGACCTTGCTCGACCCCTGGCTCGACCCCTGGCTCGACCTGGCTCGACCTGGCTCGACCCACGGCTCGACCCGGCTCGACCCGGCTCGACCCTGCTCGACCCCTGGCTCGACCCTGCCCGGCCCGGCTCGACCCGGCTCGACCTTGCTCGACCCGTGGCTCGACCCCCCGTCTGCAAGGGTTTTGGCCCTAGCAATAATTCAAAAGTAGACCCAGCGTTTTGGATCAGTTTTGCTGGAAATTTGGATTATTTTGCCGAAAGCCCTTGCCAGCGCGACCCAGCGTTTTTTTGGTTGCATTCTCACAGCCTGCCGGCCCCTCACGTGGCACCCAAATCACCCCAAACCGGAGATCCCAACCCCCCCTGCCCCAGACCGCAGCCAACGCCTACACTGAGCACGCAATCCGTGATTTCCAACCCCCCGAAATCCAGAGCCTCAGGAGGGGGCGGGAACCCCACCAAATCCAAGCATGAAATCCTGATTTCCAACCCCCCGAAATCCAGAGCCTGAGGAGGGGGTTGAAGCAGTGTTGCATAATGCTAGAATGATTTGTAACTGGGCCATCAGCTGGCATGTTGCATGGGTGTAAGCGCTTATCCTGCATCAATGCAAGAAATCATTCAGCCTGATCCCCAACAGAGGCGGGGGTGGGGGAATGTAAACGGATTTGGGCACGAAACCCCCAATAGTAGCTCATAGCTTCGAAGCCACGCACGGACATGTAAAACCAAACAACATGTACCGACTGCACATGCAATCATGCAAGAGAACACGGCACTGTCACAGCACACACAACTGGTTTCGCAGCGCATTCTGAATGCACGGTGCCGGATCCCATAACCATTGGTCCTGCGACGAGCAGCAGTAGATGGGAAGTAAGCACATACACCACACTTCCGAAGTCCTCCAAGCAAGAGGGCAAACTGCAGGGTCTGCTCGAGATGACCTTCAGAAGTCTTCTCACTTGCACTTTAGTATCACGACTGTTCTTGAGGCACCTGCCTGCTCCAGTCATCCATGGCTCAGAGCCACCTGCCCGAGTGCAAATGACAGCATGAGGAGAGTGCTGTGTGTGGACGGCAGGAACAGTGAAGAAGCAACACAGTTTTCACGAGCTTGCTTTCATGCTCCCTCCCGTGTGGCCTGGGTAGCTGTTGCACCAGCCACCCGCATCAATCGAATAAAAGCATATCTCATCTGACCTGAGAGCGTCAGGATTGGCCCTTCAAGTTTGATGGCCCAAGCTCAAGCATGATGTGGACACATCTCAATGATGTTTCGAGGGCACCTCTGCATCCGAAAACAGACCTGCCGTCAAGGATTATCGCGATTGTTCAAAGCTGGGGAAGAGCACGGTCCTGCCTGACCATCAATCTCAGCTGAATGACCTGCGGAGCTTGTGTTGGGAAGGAGCTTGTTCAAGGGTTTAGCGTTTCAGGCTTTGTTTTTTAGGGTTTCGGGTTTAGGGTTTTTTGGTTAGGGTTCAGGGCTCGGGTTTTAAGGTCTTTGTAGTCTTACGTCTTCAGCAGTGGCACAGACCAGAATACTGAATCTAATCAGTGAGCCCGACCGGCGCTACGTGACCCAATGCCTCATGAAGAGCTGCTCGAGCTGGAACTCGAAGAGGAAGAAGAACTCGGCGGATCCGACGCAGCTTCGTCGGACGGCGGCCTGCACAACGTGTTGCGGCTGGACGCTGCAAAAAAAAGTGATTTTGGCTGTGCACAACTTCAAAGGGCACTGCCAGGGTTGCTCCAGTTTTTCGTGCGTGACAACGACAATCCAACAGACACAAGCAACCCAAAACCTTAAATCAAGATCAACTTGGGCACGACCTGCTCTTCCATCCAAACAGAACCTACTAGAACACGGGGCCTGGCCTGGCGACTCTGGCACTCGATCTCCCGCGGCCCCGCGCGGATCCTGCTCCGCTTCTGCCTCTGGATGAAGGCGTAGCTTTGCTTTTTGCTTTGGCCGCACCGGACCCGCGACCCCTGGCTTTGGCTTTTGCAGATGACACGGCAGCACCGGCAGCACCCCCAACACCAACAGCCCCACCATCAGCATGAGCATCATGAGCAGGCAGAGCAGCGGCTGCTGCGTCACGCTCCCGATCTAGCTCCTCATCCGTGCGAGGACGGCCGGGGGGAGCTTGCGTTATGAGCCCTGCATCCAAGACTGCCTGGGACGGCGCTGTTTCGGGAGAAACAAAATGCTGGATGTGATCCCTCTGGCGGTTGTATGATTCCGCACAGTTGCACCAAGCTTTCAAGGCACGAAGAGCATTGTCTTTGTCGGCTGCAGTGCTGCCGCGAATCGACACGAACTTCTTGCAATCAGTCTTGGCTGACTTGCGATGAAATGGGCAACGAGCTTCATACCCGCCGTGAACCCTTGCGGCAGCAGGTTGCTTCAGGTTGATGCGGAAGACCCCCCAGGCCGGGGGTTTTTCGAGCTCCGAATCCACGGAGACATTGTCTTCCTCAGCCGGCCTGTTGCGTGGCAACCCGGGAGGTGGGGCGGCGGGGGGAGGTGGGGGTGGAAGCATTGCTTCTGAAGTCTCAGCTTCATCCAACGGCACAGAGCCAATACCGCCTCCGTCGTCCTCTGACCTGGCATCCTGCCCCACAACTTCATCTTCGCTATCGGCTTGATCAATCAACCGCTCCAGCTCATGCACCAATTCATCGTGCTCTTCATCCCGACCCTCGGCACTGCCCGCACCTTCAAGAACCTCCAAACCAGCAAGAGCGGGCTCAAGACCCTGATGCACATCATCCTGCACAGCATGGTCACCAATGTCAACATCGTCGTCATCCAACAACCCTTGCTGTTCGGTGCTTGGCATGGGGATTGGCTTTCCTGCAAGAATGGCTGTGTAAACTGCAGAGGGACTTGTTGTCCAGTGCGGTATTCTGTCGACAGCACCAGCGGCAAAGATGTTCTCTGCTTTCAGCAGACACTGCAAGTAAGTCTTATTGACAAAGTGTGACAAGGAATACCAGACCTTGGCATCGCCTGGCTTGTAGCACAACGCTTGTTTTGCTGACTTACTCTTCGGGAGGGGCTGCCATACCCAACCATCATTCTCCATAGCCAACATCAGCTCCATCACATCCCAATTCTTGGAAGGTTGGCTGCTCATGCTGCAAACTGGTGCGGGATTGCCCAAAGCTGTGACAACTCGCAAACTGCGAACACCTTCCTGTGTAAAGCGCACAAGTGCAGAATCCCGACCCGGGGCAGGATTCAAGATCTGGAGAAGCCCATTCTGTGCAAGTGCTCGACACATCTGTGCTGAAGACAATGGTGGCTGGACATACGGCTCATCAGGCAATGCTTTAGCATCCAAAATGGCAGTCACACAAGACAGCACCTCATGCCCTGGAAACCCAACGCACGGCAACGTGTACTGAACCTTTCCTGACACCTTCCAGACACGGAGATGCTCACGCAGCGTGGAAAGTGGACAGTGCTCCAAATCTTTCAACAGCTGGGGAGCTGCCAAAGCGCTCATGTTTACTGCAGGGCTTGACTCATCATCGTGAATGATGTCATGCACAGTAACGACGGAAGACCCTTTGGGAAAGATTGGTTTGAGAGCAACACTGCCTGGGGCAAGCTTCAGGTTTTCAGGGGCACCGTGCAACACACGAAAGACCATATGATCAGGAGCGGTGGCATTCATGTTGGGTTCAAGCACGTCCACATCTGCACTGTTGCCGAGAGCTTCAAGCTGTGCTTGGGCCCGGACATGCACCGTCTGCAAAGGAAGAATCTCGTAGCAACCGCCATTGGCATCAGCCTGAAGCTGCTGCACGGAAGGCAGCGAGAAGAAACAGCTGGAATCAGACATCTTTCGAAAATGATCAACAATTGCACGCTTAAAGATGGCATCATACGTCCGGGGTGTGGGCAAGGCCTGTGCATCATGGACACGGGCAGTTTCTTCCCGGATTTTCTTTGTGATTTTGTCGTGCTCTACCCTAGCCTCGCGATAATCGGCGAATTGCTCAGATAAATCACAGCGGTGCACGATCTTTTGAAGTCGAATCCACCAGTCTGTTGTGGAAACGACCTTGTCATGAAGAAGCTGTAGCAGCTCGGGGTGCTGCAACACTCCAAGCATTGCAGCTGCCTTCTTCAAGTTGCGCATCTGATCAAAAGCAGCTGTCAGTCTGCTAAGGAATTCAGGAGATTCCTGAACATGCCTTTTGATTTCGGGAAGCCTGACGGTCATAGACACTTTCGTGGGGCCAAGCTGAACATGTTTTGATGCTATCTTGACGTCGCGGTGCAATCCTTCCACCACGCGCTCTACACAGGGCACAAATTTTAGGGGGGCCACAGCCTGCAACAAATCAGGGGACATTGGGCTCCCCTGAGAGAAGGCTTCGACAGATTGCCGCAGCGGCCCACCGGGGGACAGGAATTTCACACTAAGTGGGTGGTGATGCTCTGCTTTAACCCGACCTGCCTCCAATGACTTATCGAATTCTGCCAAGCATTCGGCGGCACAGTTTCGAGCGACCGAGTCAAAATGATGACCCAAACCGCAAAGACGCCACGGCACAGTCTCCCAGAACGCAAGTTTCGACTTCAAGCCGAACTGGAGGTATGCTCTGGCATACTCGAAGTCACGCAAGATCGCATTTCTGTGATCTTCTGTCAGAGCAGGCAACCCTGAAACATCGATACCCATGAAACTCGAATGTGCCAACTCGGTGAGTTCTTCGAATGTGGAGTTGATACAACCTACGGCCAACTCACAACTTCGTTTGCCCTTCATAGGACAATGCTTAACGGAGACATCCGAACCTGGTTTGCGCCTGTGCAGACGGAATTTCCGCTTTTTGCTGAATTCCCTGACTTCATGATGGCAAGGACACCCTTCGACCCAACACTCGAAATTGAACACAAGCTTGTGGACGGCCCACACCATGTGAAGATAGTGGAAGAACATGGGACTTCCCAAAGCCTTGTCCACCCCTTGCAGAACAGATCTGTCAATGCCTGAGTCGGACACATATGTATCATAGTTCCACACCTGTCGCAACGGCTCGAGAAGCGGCATCAGACAATCCAAGCAGCTGATTACATTCTGCCAGCGTTTCTCATAGAGTTTCGACATACCTGCTTGTTGGAAGTCTGGCTCCAGGTGGGCTGCTGCTGATCCACGGACACATTGATTGATGAGGCGCTCCCTAAGGTGGCGTTCCGCTAACAGTTCAGCCACATCCTTCAACTGTTCCCAGAACGGCTCCCAAAGCTGCATCTTCTCATGGAGATCCGCAGCCAAGTTATGACACACATGCAACAGACCCGGCACAATTAGGCAACTTGGCATCAACGATGTGTCGAGCCTCGGCTGCTCTGCAGCAGCAAGATTCTGCCCATCGCCATCATGCAACGAAACCTCTGAATCAGATGGGATGTCCTGCACATCGGTCTCTACCGGAAGGCTTGCGTGCAGCCAAGTTGGTACAAGAGTTTCGGGATCCTTTGCTTGAAATTGCGGAACTTGGACCTCTAGGCCTAAGTCAGTGGTCCAACTCACGACACGACTCAGCTGCTGAGTCAAGAAGGCACGGCTGTCGCTTTCAAGGGCCAACACGTGAAGCAAGCAAGAAACTTTGTCTTCCAATCTGGTCTTACCACTGGCCATTGCTACAGGTATGTTCTTGTGATGCAAGAGATTTGCCTGCAATGTGCGGCTGCAGTGCAGAAGCTCATCGAGATCCAACTCTCGGGATTCAAAATGGTCCTGCAAGTCGGGTCTCGCCCTGATTAGCTTATTCACAACCTGGAAGGTCTCAATAAGGGAGGATTCGGGAATGCAGGCCTCCATACTCATGAACCACTCTCTCCCACTTTGCGGGGAGGAATCAGCCCAGGCGAAAAGCAGGTGTGGAGTTTGCTTCCAACGTTCCCTGCACAACATGAGGTATGCAAAGTCCATGTATGTGGATGCACGTGCTAATGTGGTGGTTTTGGGGCACTTGACATGCTTGGCCAAATCGTCGAAATCAAGTCCAGGCAAAGCAAGCTTCAATGCAAGTGGAATGGCCTCAGCCATGTGTGTTCGTGACCCCAAAAGGAAAGCCAAAAACACAGCAGCAATCATCACGTGACTGGGGTAGTGGGATGGGCGAGGCTGATGCTCAAGATTTCGCTGCAGGGTTTCAAACCATTGAATCATGTCTGCAAGCTCTAGCTGCATGAGGCCAGCTGCCTCCTCATTCGAGTTTGTCAACAGCACAGGGGCCCAAGATCTGACACGATCTGCCATTAACGACACTTGCTGGTGCGACAAGGTGGTTGACCAGTGCGGCTCCTGTCGAAAAAGTTTTTCCTTGAGCTCATCTGGAGGGAAATCCGCAGTTTCGAAAAGTTCTTGTGGAAGCGTCCAATGCCCTAACAAACCAACGGAACTCCAAGCACCTCTTACGATCAACCCTGCGACTGGTTGCACAACTGGCACGGCTACAGATGCTTCTGTTAGCTCCAACCCCCAGCGCTGCAATGCATCCTGCACAGTCATGTTTCCTATGCGACTTGATGAATCGCACTGCCACAACACCCCCGGCACATTGAGCATGCGCTCTGGCTTGCAATTGGATGGAAGGAAAGGGGACAATGCATTCGGCCGACCTCGCAGGGGCCTAGGCTCTGCATGACGCACATCAAGGTATGTGTGTACCTCTTGGGGTTCTTGGAAAACCAAGCACTCCTTCACCAAGACCGTGTACAAGCTGCCTTGGGCTGTCCAGAAGGATCTCCACACCCCTAGTTCGGATCTTTTCGGATACTCCGACAGCAAGTCGTCTGCCGAAATGCCGGGACATATGCTCATGATGCCGTGCAAAGCAAACTTTACCGAATCATTGCGGTTGCGCACCGACAGCCACTCTGCCAAATCGTGCTCTTGAACAAGCTCCAGAAACCATGGTTTCTTAGGAAACTGGCATCGCAGCCGCTGTCCCGACTCTGACCACACACGGGTCTGATGATTTTCCACAGCGCAAAGATACACAACCGTCGTCATGCTCGGCCACAGTCCCTGACAAATCTACTGCTTACTCATACGTCCTACAGTAGAGTCCTACATTTGCCTCGGACTTCGAACCTATACACGATATCATTGACATAGACTCTGCTCGGCCACAGTCTCGTCTCTACTTGCAAATTCTTCCAATCATCTTCAGAAGCTTCGCAAACGAGCCACTTAAGCTTGAGCCTGCGTTTGAGCCGCCTACGGTGGGTTTAGGGTTCATGGGTTAAGGTTGCGAAAGACGGAGAAAGAATCGGAGTCAATGAGAGCTGCAGGACATGTCTCCTGCTGGAATTCCTGAGCTCCAGCACTGTGAATAAAGTTACGCAAGAGTTAGGCCGCCTGTCGGCGGAGAGAACATATCACATCCTGCAAATCGATGAGTCTGCTTTCCCGAGCTGTAGAGGCAACAGCTGCAGCCACCGCAAATTTGGGCACAGTCTGCAAATTGCCCTGACCACTGCAAATCAGATCTGAGCTTTCGTTCTGCAAAGCCGACAGTCGAAGAAACGGGCCTGAACTTGTTTCATGTCTTTATCTGATTTATCTTCTGCTGTCCATCTGCCTACTCTCTCTTTCTGCTTTCTTCTTCTTGGGCGTTTCGAATTGTGACCGGCACAATGAGCATCAGCATGAGCATCAGCATCAGCACAGCAGTAAGGCAGCAGCTCCCTTGCCGTAGGCTGTAATTTAATATTTTCCTCTAGATCTGCAATCCATCTTCTTTAAATCTTTCTCTTTTTTCTCGTGGCTGTCACAAGCCGCTTGAATCCGCTTGAACCAAAAATAGCAATAGCACATCATGAGCAGCAGCGGCAGCATTAGCAGCACGGCAGTACGCGACATCATGAGCAAAAGCGGAAACAGCAGCAGCGGAGGCTCCGATGCCGATATCTCCTATCATTCACCTTTCGGCGCCTATACTCCACGCCTACGCCGTTCGGCGCCCAGCCCCAGCCCAAGTCCTACACCTTTCGGCGCTTCACCCCAAATTTAGCTACGCCTTTCGGCGCCCATCCCCAGCCCAAGTCCTGCAATCCTACACCTTTCGGCGCTTCACCCCAGCCCAAGTCCTACACCTTTCGGCGCTTCCCAAATTTAGCACGAAGGACACCATCCTAACCGAGGAAGCCGCAGCCTGTGCGATTTCCAGCCGCTTCGCAGCTGACTACCCTCCCTGGTTGTCGCTTTTGGCTTCACGGAGCATCGCCGAAGCATCAACCAAGGCAAATCCATTGCAGGCCCCGTGTTTCCTTGTTTTCCACACAGACCCACACACAGCCGCGACCCGGATGAAACTTAATAGTTTCGTCCCTGGAACCCAGGGACTGCTCGTACACAAAGATCTGGTCGCCCATCATCTTCGCATGCCCCAACAGGGGGCCGTGCAACAGGATGCCCTGGCAAAATGGCTGCATGCCTGCCGCACGAAGGTCCTTGAATCCAGCCTTCGCCCCCAGCTGGAAGAATCTCAGCAGCCCGATGAGCAGCATGCGGCGGTCCTTGCCGAACAACTGACAATGGGGAACCGCAACTCTTGTCTTGGCTGAGAATACTGCACAATGCTAGCACTGCCTCATCAACGTCGCCGACCACCTGCAGCTTGTCGATGACGTTCTGGAGGGACTCGGCGCACTTGCGGGCCTCGTTCATGTCATCTGACGTGAAGAATGGCCGGTCCTGCAGCTGAACCAACCAACGGCCAACTGCAACTTTGAACAAACGAGGCTGTCCTCCGAATTGAACCTGGACGTCACCGGGAACTGCAAGTTGCTCGGGTCGAATCCGACGAGGACCCAGATGAGATTCTCGGTGGGGTCAGCCCCGACTTCGATGCCCGGGAGCGTTCCGTTCGTGTTGTCCTCGCACATTGCCAGCTGTCGTGCCCAGGGTAGGCTGACCAGCTGACCCAGGGAGGTTTGCGACCTGCCCCGGAAGACCTGCACACAGACAAACAGAGTAAACTGATACGCAAAGTCTCACACAGCTGGCCTCATTCAAAGTCCTCTGGGTCTGTGTCACGATGGCCTTGCTGTCACTGCTCTTCCCTTTCCTGCAGTCCTGCTCTGCAAGGTCAACACAGTGAACAGTGGACGGGGTGGACAGTGAACTGGATGCCGCAGCTGGTGCCAAGGATTTGGCAGGAGAACGCGGGCACTCTAGCACCTCCTCCACCACACATCCTGGCTGCCTTGGCTCCTCTGGCTCACTGACAGATCCCTTGTCCACCTTGGGCTCCTCCTGCCCAGATTCCTCCTTGGGCTGCTTCTTCTCTCCCCCACCCACATTGGGCTGCTCCACATTGGGCTGCTCCACTGCCCCACTCTCATCATGGGAGACCCCAGCTGCGGCAACTGCTGAATCAGATGCTTCGGGGTCCTTCTGCTTCGCCTTCGATTCCTGAGATGCATTGGCACACTTGCTGGCACGAAGTTTTGTGTGATCTAAACACTGGCGCTAGAAATTTGCATACAGGTGACATTCTTGTCAATGCTCCGCTTGACACTGGTCGCCCTCTGCTGCTCCTGCTTCTTCTTCTTCATCTCCTTCATCTCCTGGAGCTGCTTCCTGGCCTTCATCACCTGAGTCTCCTGAGGGGCAGAAACCCTCGAAACCCTAAACCCTCAACCCCAAACCCGAGGCCAGCCTCCTTCCAGGCTTCGAACAACGGCCTCACCTGAGCACCAAGGACACTGGCTACTAGTAACTAGTAGCGATGCAAAACAAGAACTGGCAGAATTCGGAATGCTGGCGAGGCTCCTCGTAGCTCGGGCCTTGGCAACAGAGGACAGGCGACGGCGGACAGTGGACAGGGGGCGTCGAACTGGCAAAAGCCGAATCATCGGTCGACCGGGCCCGGTCGCAGCGGACCTCTTCTTGCCCGGTCTGGCCTTTTCCTTGGGCTCGGCCCCTGCCACCTTGGGAGACTTCGTTTCCGTCTCCGATTCCATCGACCCAGAACTTGCTGGCGCCGACTCCGTCTTCTCTGTTGGCGTCGCGGGCTCTTTCGGCTTGGCCGAGAGCTGAAGCACGGGCTTCGGGGCCTTCTCCTCCTCCTCCTCCGCTTCGGCTTCTGACGTCGGCGACAAAATGGATCGCCGAACCTGCTGCCGTGCTTCTGTCACCGTCCCGTCATCAGGGACCCCCGCAGGCACCACGGCAGGCGTAGTGTCCTTCTTGTCGCCCTTCATCTTCTCTGCTTCTTCATAAACATCTTGGAAACTGACTTCCTGCAGCACAGGCTGGGGTCTGGGCTATTTAAAGCAGTGCATTCAATACTCAGCTCAAACAGAGAAGTGCCCTTGCCTTGCCTCAAAGCCGTCAGTCGAAATCGTGGAGTCAGCCGCCGAACCCGTGTCGCCCATTGCTTCAGGCACACACCAAAATAAGTACAATCAACAAGGGACAGTGGGAACAGGGCACAGTGGACTCCTCGAATTTAAACACCGGCGGCAAGGTAGCACTGCACAGTTCATCTGAATCTGCGTGAACATGCAGCAAAGCAGGCAGACAGTGCAAGCTGATGCATGCATTTTGGGGGTTTAAAGGATGACACTTTACCAGGCCTCGCCGTGGAGCCAATGCCGCGGCACCGCTGCTGCAGGCGAGGACAGTGAACAGTCAACAGCGGACAGCTGAACAGTGAACAGTGGACAGCAGCTTGGCTTTCGGACCTGCCAGGGGAGCATTCATGTGATGTTGCATAGTTATTGTAGGGCTCGGGTCTGAGGCAAATGGTTTTCACAGTGAACAGCGAACAGTGTGACATCATCCCTCCAAGTGCAACGCAACAGAAGCTCCTGGCTCAAGGCAACATTAGAGTATCCAGTAGTAGTGTTTCACCAGACCCCATGGCACCCAGAAAAAGACTAACCAGTTCACTGTCCTGCAGTTCACTGTCCACTGTGCCAGACGCAAAAAGCAAGTTGCAGAAAAAAAGGTCGAAGACACAATCCACTGTGCAAGAAGCCAAGCGCAAGCCATGGAACAAAGGTAAAAAGCTGTCGAAGACAGACCTCCAGCATTTGTTCGTTCCCAGGGAAGACCTTTTGCTGTTCCTGGCAGTGAGCCTTTACTTTGCCGGGCCACGGTATGTCATGGCATTATGGATCACGATGGTTACCTCCCTTCGAATTTCTGAGGCATTGCAACTTCGAGGTTCGGATGTTTTCCTGGATGGAGGGCACATGCAAGATGCTCCTCACATCTTGTTCCAAAAGCGGGAAGACAAAAAAGACTTCCAAGGAATGGGCAAACTTGGGGCTGACTGCATCGCTGCTCGTCTTGCTCCTTATGTTGTCAGCACACTCAGGGAGGTGATGGACAAAGGTGTGCAGAGATGTGTGCTGCCCCCACTTGAGCCCTTCAGGAAGTCCCACCCAGGCGTGTTTCAAGACTTTCCGCCACGCTCGTCCAAAGCCTTCTGCTGGCCCATTGGCAGCAGCTACATATTCCCAGCTCAAACAAAAAAAGCAAAGCAACCGTGGATGGCCAGGCAAACAGTGTGGAAAGCAGTGACCCATGTCGCGAAAGTGATGTTCGCACTCACCGGCCGCAGACGTTGGAATGTGAAATTCAAAGGCTCACATGTGACAGTGCATGGAGCTACTAGACACACTGCATCTGCCTTGTTGCTTGCAACCCCAGAGGGCGGTAACCGCGCCTCTGAGCATGTCATCATGGAAATCCAGCAGCGGCTCGACGTGGGAACCTTCAGGCGGCACTACTGCCATGCAAACGAGGACGACGTGGCGGAGGCCCTTCAGCATGCATCAGTTGCAGTATGCTTTGCTATGCCGAGCGATGATCCAGAAGCCATGTCACCAAAGCAAGACCCAGAACCTATCGCGCCTCCTTCGCCAAGTGCTAGTACGACGACTACTACTACAGCTTTGTCTCCAAAGAGAACGTTGACCCTGTCCCCTGTGCACTGTCCACTGTCTACAAAAGGCCCCGACTCCACGGCCTCAGCCGAGATGCCAAGCTCCCAGGAC